CAAACATGTTCTTTTTTCATGTTCAAGTGCAAATAATAAAGGTAACAAGAGCTCAGGCTGCAAAAAAATTAAACCAAGTATGGCTGGTGCCCAGTTGACAAGACCAGTTAGTTTGTGTACGGCCATGATGAAAAGTTCAGCAGCTTAGCTGTGCCAGCAGTGTGAAAAGCAAATGATCTGACAGTGGCAAAACTTGTTTTCTTTAAAAATTATTCAAAAGTACTCATGGTTCAGGTGGCAGTTTGTCACCAGAAAAATAAGTAGGAAATGAGATTCAAATTGTAACTGACTACACAAGTCCATTTAACTATGTATTGAACACTCAACTAAACACCCTGACTTAACTACTGTACAGGAGTTTCTTGAATCCCACATGGCTCCAGCCGGCCCCCATCCCAATTCTATCCACACTGGAGCTCTCAACGGAGTTTGCATACACAGTCTCCACTTCACACCTTAACATGACCCAGTCCTCACTGCCCTTGTCAACTTCACCAATTACCAATTCAGAAACAGGATCATGAATGTCAAGGAGAAATTAAGGAACTGTGCCAAACAGAAGGAAATTACAAGACTCAGTCACTCTCTCAAACTGCCCCATAGTCTGCCAAGGCTGTAAGCTTTATGGAAACAGAGGGCTGTATCTTTCTCCCTCCAAGGAGAAAGGAGGGTTCAAACTACCAGCCTTTCAGTTCACAGCCAAGCGCTTAACCACTGCACTACCAGGGTTCTTTGAAGACTGTCGTTGTTGCTAGATGCCATAGTGACCTTATGCACAGCAGAACGAAACACTGCCCGATCCTGGGCCAACCTCGAGCAGCATAATGAAGACAAATGACCTAGATGAGAAGGCTAACATTTGAAAACTGGCAAAATGTGAATGGTGACAAAGGGTCTATGGGAGAAGTACTTTGCACTGTTCTTGGTACAAGTATGTTGTTGTTGTTGAGTGCCGTTGAGTCGGTTCCGACCCATAGCGACCCTGTACAAGGTTTCCAAGACTGTAAATCTTTACGGGAGCAGAACGCCTCATCTTTCTCCCGCAGAGCGGCTGGTAGTTTCGAACTGCTGGCCTTAAGGTTCACAAACCAATTCGTAACCACTACGCTACCAGAGCTCCTTGGTACAAGTATAAAACTGAAAAATAAAATCACACTACTTTGTAAAGTTTAGTGCTGGATAGTGTCCTTTTATTTCCAACTGTTGAAAATTCTTCAGGAGGCTGTTCTAACAGAGAATGGAATTGCCCTAAATAATGTTTAAGCTATAGTAAGCACAACTATTTAAATGCTCTATCAAGAGCCTAAGGGAAATATTTACTTAGGGACAGCATTGTTGTTGTGAAGCCAAAACTGAAATGGCTATAAAAGCAGGACTGAGAATGTCTTGGCTCCAATAAGGGATGTAGGTGAAGGGTTGAGGGCAAAGGTCCTATGCAGCAAGAGCCTTCAATGAGATAATAGACAAGTCTTCATCAACCGGTAAAAAGGAACTCTTTCAAGTGGCTTCATTATTTTCAAACCTCTTTTTCATCCCTTGACACCTCAGACAAAACTAGTAAGCTTAAATTCCAACTACTTTTTTCTTCTTTTTGGTATGCACTATTAAAAGCAAACTTCCAGTTGATTAAATGGGATAAAATGTAAGCCATAATTAGTCTTTCATGAACCCTTTCTACTCCTGTATAAATCTCCCCAAACAGGAGTTTAAACAATGAGATGTCAATGGCAAAATAGCAAATCAAGGAAGGCAAAACTCAGATTTTATCAATGAAAGCCTAAGTTTTGAACATTTCGTTATACAGGTTAAGTACATAAAGTTCTGACTCTACGGCCTTCCTTGGGTTAAGCAAGCAGGAGGCTTGTGCACACCTTAGTACCTGTACTTTTCCACCCGGGTCAGACAGACGGAGAGACCGGCCCACACCACCCGGTCCCCAAGATCCTCAGGAGGCAACACTAAGGCCAGTCGATATCGCAAAGCAGCCACAGAAAGGCAGTTTATTTGTTAATAAAACCCACTCAAACAAACAGCCAATCATCTTCAGGTTTGTGAAACTGCAATGACAGACCACATTCATTTTTATTTCAACATTTAAAATATTCACAGATGAAGTGGTATTTTCATTGATTTATCCATGGAAAATGTACCAAAGTATACAAGCATTCCACAATTACAGTTACATACTGGTGACTATGTGACTGTCCCAAGAATTGGGACTGGAAAAACACCACTTCCAAAAAACTTTAAATGTTTCACTGGATTAATTTCCACAGAAAACCAGCTTCCAAGAATTTCAGCTGAGATACCTAGGTATGAAATCAGCACGCTTTGGAGTCTTTCTCTTTGCCCTCCACAGCCAGGCCAGGATGCACTTTCTGTCCACGTCTCTCGGCAGTTTTCTCCTAGACGCACTACGTCCACAAGGTGATTACAGCATCGATTACAGCATCGTGACTAGCTAATGAGGTAGGGAGTAGTTTCTAAAATAAATTCTCAGGTATTATTGAAACAAATCACAAGAGAATAATTCAATTACCAAGAGGATTTTTGGGGGTTTTTGTTTTTTTGTTTTTTTTTAAGTGGTTGTTCTTTCAATAAAATTCCAAGAATATTAAAAACTGGCCAAATGCTGCTCATATTTCAAAAGATTAAGAGGAAAAAATGCCCTGCTACTGAGGATACTCAATGGAAAATCTGAATACTGGCACTAATGCCAAGCTTTCTTCTTGAAAAAACTTGAGCACGATATTTAAAAAGGAGAAACAGAAGGCATAAGAACCAACTTTTTTTTTACAGTGCAAATTGTTCAATCTCATCTTTTCCTACACAAAGATTTTCTATATATTATGTGTGCAGTAATTAAATGAAATTAACAGTCCACTTACCATATTCTGCCAATAAAAAAAAACCTTACAGCTTTTAACATAAAGCTAAACGGCTAGAAATACCTTTGTAATAAGACTTCAGCACCATCTTTGTATTAACACATTAGTTTTAAATGTATACACCCCTAGTTCACACAAACCTAGGAAATTTAGCCATTATTTTGTCTTCTAATTATCCTTCCTTGTATGCTAAAACCAAGGCAGCTTCAATCACAAATCTCCCCAATTGTAGAGGATGTATACATGTTCCCAAATAAGTGAAAGAAAGTTATCAATTTACCATCTGTCTAAAATAATGCACTTGAACACTTTGTACTATTATTTGATGAACGCTAAAATACTAGGAAAGATTTAATTGTCCAATTATACACCTATATTAGGAGTCCTGGTGTGGCACTACACTGCAAGGTCGGTAGTTCAAACTCACCAGCCGTTCCTCAGAAACCCTGTACAGGGTCGCTATGAGTTGGTGCCAACTTAACAGCACTTAACAGCAAAACAAGGGTCACAGTTAAATATATTTAAAAAGTTGTGTGGTGTTAAGTGCTGTGGAGTCAGTTCTGACCCCATAGCAATCCTATATAGGGCTTCCTAAGAGCAACTGGTGAGCTTGAATTGCCGACTCTGAGGTCCAGCACATTAACCCACAGCACACCAGTTCCAAAAAAAAAGTCATAGAAAAGATATAAAATATACCTAAACAGAATAGCTGCTAGAAAGAAAACTGTTAACTTTACATAGACCTGGTGTGGTGCTGTACGGTAAGCAAGGTCAGTAGTTCAAACTCACCAGCCGCTCCTCAGCAAACTTATACAGGGTCACTGAGTTGGAACCAACTCAATGGCACTTACCAACAATACACAGCGCCTCACGATGGCTCTGAAGTCAAGTTCCTGACTGATCTACCACAAACCGTTCTGAGCGCAGGAATCAAGCTTGGTAGCAAAATAGTGTGACTCTGATATGGCAGCCCTTACTTACTAGGATAAACCATTTGAGATCTGCTACCAAAAATAAATTTGTTAACAAGATTTTTTTTACATACTAAAATTTCATTTTATTATTCTATCTAGAACTGTGTTCTTTCAATGTAATCAAAATGTTAAAATATTTTATCGAAGTATCACTTTGTGTCACTATATGATTTAAGTTTAGAGAATTCTTTTCTCTTTACTGCCACCTTCTTTAATTTTACAGTTCCCTTTACAAACATTCTTTCCTAAGGCACACCATGCCCTATTTATTGCTGTAAAGCCCCAGAAATCTAGGCCTCAATAAAGCAAAGTCAGTCTGCTGAAACTTAGTAATAGTCAGCCTAGAATGCCACTGTCCAGTAGACCAACTGCAAAATGACCAAGTCTACTGACACAAAAGCCAAAAACTACGTGCTCTTTCCACCACCCCCCAAAAAAATCACATTACCATAGTAAAGTTCAATATCTCTGGCTATATAACCTATACTCAATATTATCAAATAAAATGTTAGGCGAGAAAGCTTTCACAATTTTTATTAAACCCTACAGTAATTAATCAGTATCTCAATTTACAGACATCATCCTACGGTGAACATGTTTGTAAGTGAAAGCAAACCAGACATCTACGTCCTTGTTTTCTGTAGATGGAATAGGATAACACCTACACCAAACACTTACAATGACATACACTTGCTCAGTTTTCATACAAGCCACGGTGCTTATCAAACTACATAGCTCCCAATACTTAATGCAGCAGAATGTGATTGTAGTTCCCATGTATTTTAATTACAAGTGCCTTATTGCGATAGCTAACACTTTGACAGTTTCATTGACATTTGCAAACTACCATTAATATATTCAAGAGTAAAAGCTGAATTTGAAAAGATGTTAATAAATGAAAATGAAGTTACAAAAACAGAAGAGGTGAGGAAGTTACCACTGGGATAGGAAAGTCAAGTAAGTCTAGGCCTTTGGTTGGAAGAGAACAGAGTAATTAAGGATTTCCCAGATCAAGAGTTTACAAGTTAAACAAAACACAAATCCTTCTTCACGTAGAAGCTGAAACTCAAAAGTCTATAAACTGTGACGTTAGGCCTTAAACAGTACCAACTCTTCTGATGAAAAAAGGCCACAACAGTTAAGATTGTATTACTTGCCTTTATTTTACACTAGGTTAGTGGGCACAAGCAATTCTCCTTAATAAAGTTGACAAATCAGCTTCACTCAGAACATTTTTAATAACGCACATTAAAAAAAAAGTATTCATCTTACAAACTGTTCTGCAATCCAAATATACAATAGCTTGGAAAACAACGGTTAGAAAACAAAAGCCAATGTAAACAGACAGATTAAAACGACTAGAGCAGTACGGTTGGATACAGCTCTGATGTTACAGTTTCCTTACTGCGTCATCAATGTCCGAAATCTGTTCCTTCAGCTGACTCCACTGCTCGGGATTTAGAGAAATACCTAAAATAAAGTTTTAAAACCACAAGTTGAAAAATATACTTAAAGCTTCCTTGAGGACTTCTATACTTCTAAAGCATTGTCTTATAAAAATTAGCGCTCTTAGTGTTACACAATATTTAGTCTAACCTCCTACATATTAGTTGCCAATTAATTGACAAGTTCTTGAGCAGGTCAAAAGTAATTGGTACCAATCTTACAGCGAGTTTTATTTCCAACATCACACCCTGCACTGATTTCTTCTTCTCTGGGAGAACAAATGGTACTTAAAAACTTAACTCACAAATGCCTGCCAACTTGTAGGTTAAGAGTCCAGGCCCCGATTTGGCAGGCAACACCCCATTTTTCTACATCCAGCTCCAACATTTGCCAAACACTTCCAGATACCTTCACTTCACTTTGGAAAGATCCCTGGGATGTAATCCAGACAGAACTTCCTAAAGTGCTCTTTAAGAACACTAGTTAAAAGAGCATTCTGATATGTTTTTATGGTTCAAATCCAAGTCCATCAATAGCTGCAAGCATAAAAGAATTACCTCACTTTCTAAAACCTCTATTTCCTCACCAGTAAAACGGTACTTACATCTCAAAGGGTTGTTGTGAATAATTAAACTCAGTAATTTCAATGATGAATTTATAGTACAATACTTGAAAATTAAGCAAACACTCAATTAAAAAATCTGAAACCTATCTTGCCTATTTAAGGTGCAAAATCTTATCTTTTCTATGCTGTTTACTTTTAACTTCCAGTAATCACCTGGCCTCTGAAAGTAGCGAAATACATCAGACTAGGAAGATTTCATTAATTTTACAAAAAACTGTTCAAAGGCCATGAAATTGACACGGAGAGAGATGCACTGAGACAACACCTAGACAAATTTAAAGCGAATACAACTGCTTTAGTCAATGTTTGCAGAAACAAGAAATGAAATCTGGGCATTGGCTATTCTCAGACTTGAGTGGCCAAATTAAGAAAATAATCCAGGAGTAGGCAGAGCAAGGGAGTCCTAGTGTAGCACTGTGGGTTAATGCACTGGACTGCAGTCGTTTGAAGCACAAGGTCAGCAGTTCAAGCTCACCAGCCGCTCCACGAAAACCCAATACAGGGTCGTTATGGGTCAAAATCGACTTGACAGCACTTAACAACAGGAAGAGCAAGAAAATGTTGAAGTGCATGAACAAACAGCACCTTTTAGGTACCTTTTAAACTGAAAAGAAAATGAGATATTAGTCACTAACAAAGGATCATCTAACTACCCAAATATACTTATTTATGCTGTAAAAAAAAAAAATTCTTTTATTAGGTGAGCCATGAAGTATGCATCCACACTAGTGAGATTTGAACTGGCTGAAGCACGAAGGGAAGGACCCTCTTGAAGGAGGCAGTCCTCAAAAACAGCCGTTAGATGACCAAAAGGAAACACTATAACCAGGAATTCCCATTCGTGATTTTAAAACTTCACAGGTAGTTATCTCATCTACTTCAGAATTGCTATTAATTTCCACGCAAATAAAAAAAAACACTAATTTAGCAGCCAATTAAAGTGTTACTAAGAATTTTACTCCACAAGAAAAAAAGTCAGGCACTGTGGGATAAAGTGCTAGACCGCAAGGTCGATCTGAACCACAACGTCAGCGGTTCAAACTCACGTGTCACTCCTTGAAACTCTAGATAGGGTCGCTATGAGTCAGGACCATCTGAATGGCACTAACAACATTATAAACAGTTAGGTACCGTGTCCGAAATGACTACAGCAGTCAGAATGAACTGAGTGTGGATCTTCCTTACCTATATTTTTGTTGTTGTCAGGTGCCATCGAGTCGGAACCGACTCATAGCGAACCCATGCACAGCAGAACGAAACAATGTCCGATCCTGGGCCAACCCCACCACCGCTGCCACACTTGAGTCCATCAATGATGCCACCTGGCCAATCCATCTCGTTAGGGGTCTTCCTCTTTTTCTCTGACCCTTCACCTTACCCAGCATGGCATCGTTCTCCAGCGACTGTTTCCTCCGGACAATATGTCCAAAGTATGAGAGATGAAGTTTAGCCATCTTGGCCTCCAAGGAGCACTCTGGCTGTCCTTCTTCCAAAATAGATCTATTGGTTCTTTTGGCAGTCCATGGCACTTTCAGTATTCTCCTCTAACACCACAACTCAAAGGCATCAATTCTTCTACGATCCTCCTTATTCACTTATTACCTATTCACTTATTACTTTTTCACTTATTACCTATATAACCTGAGCATTATTTCAAGTTGCAAGTTAGAAAATTTCAAACTTAGTCCAACGTTATAATCAAACTCAGGACAAAAATCTCACCTTTTCTTCCTGGTTTCATTTCACCTTCCTGATCCATCCAATATTCTCTAATATCAATTAGGACTTTCCCTTTAAAGTCCCGAACACTGACATACCTCATTTTCCCAATCTGCAAAAGAAAACAAGTATGTAAAGAGATGCTCGTTTCAACAGTGCTCTCCATATTTATATTCACAACAGCTACAGTCACATCTAATGAGAAAATGACTGCTATCAAAATGGCAAGCAGAGGCTTTCATGCTCAGTCATCACCATTAAAAAATTGGATATAAACAAAACACACCTCACATTTCCCATTTTTTACATTAAAATCATTTGCAAATAAAATCTTACACTACAAATTACAACCAATAGTTGTAGGAAACCAAAGATCCAGTTAAGTACCTAAATGGTTTTGGCAATCATTCTGAATATTTACAAATACTTAAGATGGTTCCCTAAAATGCCTTCAATATCACAAGAACCATACTATTTAGGTTATATTCCTATGGAAATAAGTTAAGATTCTGAGCTGAAAGAACCAGAAGCCAAGTATCTATTTTAAATATTTCCTCACCAGTCAGGATTCTGCTTGAATCATTCTAGAGTTTGTAAAAATATATGGCACCAGAAACTCCTCCCACATGCTTTACTGCTCACCTGAGTTCAATAACTCATTGTAATGGTCACATAAAACTCAAAGACAACACTAGCTTTCAAGTTTATTATGTAAGCTAACAGGTCAGAAATGCTCAGGACAGCCTCATCTGAGTCATGCCCACAGACAAACCTTCTCTCTGCCTGGCCAATGTTACAAAGCTCGTTAAGGCTAACTGCCCACAGGACACACCACTCCACTGTAAGCCTCAACTTGATGGCACTGGGTTCTAACTCCCTGGGCCAGCAGTTAATTGTCTTGGAGAATCCTACTGTGTAAGCAAGCCTCCTACCCAAAGTCACTCAGCTTTACTTGCTCCATCAGTTGGAAGCCCACTGCTCTGTCTCTTCGTTCTGCTATGCTACTCCTCAGGTTTCACAGCTTTCTGTTCCTGGATAGAGTTGCAATGCACAGAATTCTCAGTCAACGTACATGCTCCACTCCTGAGAAATAGTAGTTAGATGCTATCAAATCTAATAGGGAGCCTATACACAATGGGATGAAACACTGCCCGGTCCTGCACCATCCTTACAATTGTTATTAAGTTTGAGCCTATAACTATTACCACTGTGCCAATCCATCTCCTTGGAAGGTCTTCCCCTCCCCTCTACCAGGCATATTGTCCTTCTCCAGGGACTGGTCCCTCTTTATAGTACGTGCAAAGTATAAGAGATGAAGTCTTGACATCTGCCCTGTTAAGAAGCATTAGGGCTGTACTTCTTCCCAGACATCTGTTTGTTCTTGTGGCAATCCATGATATTTTCAACATTCATCTGCAACACCATTAACTCAAATGGATCAATTTGGGAAATTTAAAGGTTACAATTCAGGATCAGAAATGCTCTAGACTCAGTTCTTCAGCAAGAGCAGCCTTCCCAGCCATGCCTGCAGACAAGTCCTCACTATCTGGTCTTGGTCTGTGCTCTGCTCCAGCAAGCTCTTTTAAGGCTGTCAATAAATGGCTAAAGGGCACAGCACTCTGCCATAAGCCTCAGCATGAAGGTGTCAGCTCCAGCCCCATGGGTCAGCCAACCTAGCCCCCTCAATTAAGCACCTGGAGGCATCCCGTTCCACAAGTGAGCTTCCTGGGCCTTATTTGGGTCAGGAAGCCCAATGTAGTCTTTGTGCTCTGACTCTTGGTTCTGCTGCTTCTCTGGCATCACAGCTTTCTGTCCCTAGATCAAGGGAGGTGCAATGGCAGGGATCTCAGGGCCCCCTTCACTCCTGGCTTTTCTTTCCTGATGGTAGCAAGCTCCCCTTCCTGCTTTGAGATGGCTCATTTTAAACCCAGGAGGATGGCAAACTGGCCAACACCCTTTTTAGAGTTGCAGGTTCTGCAATCTCATTGAGCCCTGTTAGCAATCATTCACAAGTGAATCTTATCATCTTATCACCACCTTCCCTCACCTTCTTTATCCAGGCCCATCAGGAAAAAATGAAAGGCAGCCAATCTCACCCAGTCATCTGATGGAAGCTACAAACGCCATATTAAGCAATTCACTGCACCACAGCCATGAAAACAAATTCCTTATAAAGTTTTGAAAGAAGATAGGTTATGAAAGAAGATGGGACGGTAAGAGGAAACAAGCAGGAAGTAGGATAAGCCATGTTACAATGTGGGAACTGTAATCAGTGACCTGCAACACATTGTGTAAGAACTGCCGAATGGAAAACCGGTCTCTGGTGTGGCGCTGTGGGTTAATGCGTCAGACTGCAAAGCCATTTGAACTGCAAAGCCAGAAGTTCAAGCTCACCAGCTACTCCTTGGAAACCCTATACAGGGTCGCAATGGGTAAGAACCGACTCGACGGCACTTAACAATAATCCTTCACCCAAATCACACTAAAGTAAAATATAAATGAAAACAAATTTACTTTTCTTATTTCTGTCAGTGAAATCTTAATGTCTGTGGTTCTTAAATTTAAACACAATCCCATCTGATTGCTTAATTCCTAGATCAGCATTTCCTAATCATCACTCCTGCATCTAGGCCCTATAGCCCGTCACATGCACAGCTGCTGCAGAGCTCTAACCTGCATGCCATCCCCCTCCCACTACCTCTTCCCCAAAACTGCCTTATGCAATTATGCCAGGATCAGATCTCCTGAAAACTACAGAAGAAACCCAAGGAAAGAAGTTACAGCTATCTCCTCATGATTTCATTAACCCCTCTAGTGCACTTATCTCACTTTACCCACCCACTCAGCCTTGTCGTTGTTAAGTGCCGTCGAGTCAGTTTCGACTCATAGCGACCCTATATAGGATTTCCAAGGAACATCTGGTGACTTCGAACTGTCAGCCTTGTGGTTCAACCAACCTCGCGGTTCAGTGCTTTATCCTACAGCACCACATATCCAGCCTTATCCCCACTATATATATATAAACATAGGGCCTATCTGACAAACCCATTCTTTGTTTCCCACCTATAAAAACCTCTCCAGGTAGCATCTAGTACCAGGCATACAGTACCAAGTCACTTTCTATATCTGGAGCTCTCAATCCAATCCTTGACGACTTCTGGATCTTATTTGCACTGTCTGAAGTAGAAGAAAACTACAGCCTTCTAAAGAATCCAGCATCATGATAAATTACATTCATTCCTAATAACTTGTTCTTACACATTTCAGTAGAATATTGTATCCTTAGTCAAGAGAACTACACTGTTAATATATTAGGAAATCTTAAATAACAACAAGAAGGTACTTCTTACATTTCCACAACTCATCATGCCAGATTCCTCTGGATCTGAGTGCAATGATCATTTTACCTGAAACATATTATCATCTCTGCTGCTGCTGCTCTGCTTAGAGGACGATAAGGCTCTTGAAGTTTCACCAGTTTTTTGCTTCTTCACAGGTTTTTCTGGAGCAACTTGCTTTTTCCTCTTCAACTTGAAAGAAAAACACAAAAATATGGTTAAAATTGGCACACATAAGGGTAAAACATCTCCAAGTTCAAAAGATTCCTTCCATTACTTAACAATTAAAAGACTAGATTATATTCATTTATTCATTAGAGGAAAATAGAGAGATTCTTCCTGGTATGGCACTGTGTGTTGATACAATGGACTGCAAGGTGGGTTTGAACCATAAGGTCGACGGTTTAAGCTCACCAGCTGCTCCTCGGAAACCCTATACAGGGTCACTATGAGTCAGACCTGACTTGACGACACTTAACAACATGTATGTTTACTTGTATTAGTTATTGTTGTTAAATGCCATCAAGCTGGTTCCGACTCATAGCAACTCTGTATAGTGTTTCCAAGGAGCAGCTGGTTGAATTGAACTATAGACCTTGTGGTTCACAGTCCAGCGCTGACCCTACCTACAACATCACCAGTAGTCAACAGGGGCATATCTCGTAAACCCTACATAGGGTCGCTATGGGTAAGAACTGACTTGCTGGCACTAGTTTCATTTGACAATCTAACACATATCTAATACAGTGCGTCCAAATTGTACTCTCAAGAAACTCAAAAGACAGGTCAAGCATTAAGGCGGCAGTAACAATCCACTTACAATTTCCTTTATGGCGTTGTTGGGGTTTGGCTGCTACTTTGGGGAACCACAGGTTTACTTAGGTTAGCTAATCAGTCAGAACCGATATACTAATTAGGAAAACAACCCAACCCATATTTACAGGATATTTATGATTTATGCCCTCCTCTCATATTCCAAAATGGAGTCCTGATGTTGTACTGGACTGCAGGTTGGCAGATCAAGCTCACCAACCATTCCTCCGAAATTAAATACAGGGTCACTAAGAGTAAGAACCAACTTGACTGCACTAGAAACAAAAACAACATATTCCAAGACAGATTTAAGCTAGTTTGTTGTTGTTGTTAAGTGCCGTTGAGTCGGTTCCGACCCATAGTGACCCTGTACAGGGTTTCCGAGGGTGTAAATCTTTACAGGAGTAGAAAGCCTCATCTTTCTCCCGCGGAGCGGCTGGTAGTTTCGAACCGCTGACCTTAAGGTTCGCTGCCCGATTCGTAACCACTACGCTACCAACGCTACCAGAGCTCCTTGTTGTTGTTAAGTGCCGTTGAGTCGGTTCTGACCCATAGTGACCCTGTACAGGGTTTCCGAGGGTGTAAATCTTTACAGGAGTAGAAAGCCTCATCTTTCTCCCGCGGAGCGGCTGGTAGTTTCGAACCGCTGACCTTAAGGTTCGCTGCCCGATTCGTAACCACTATGCTACCAGAGCTCCTTAGAGGATTTATAATTTAGCATACTGAAGAACCATTTTGTAGTGGGCACTGAAAATCAGCAATTCAAGCACTTTCTCATCACAAAAACAATTACTCAAGGAGGAGCACTGTTTGACTAGCATGCAAAATCACAGCAACATTTTTAAAGCAGTGTTATGAAAGTGTTAAAAGTAACCTCATTCCCAAATGAATGATTTAAGTTCCACTGAATCGTTCTGGCTCACAGTGACTCTGTATATAGGGTTTCCAAGGAAAGGCTGGTGGGTTTGAACCACCAACGTATCAGGTGTTGATCCTACAGCACTACACCAGAACACCCCTAAATAAGCTTCTTGTTGTTGTTAAGTGTTGTGAGTCAATTTCCAACTCACAGCAACCCTGTATAGGGTTTCCAATGAACAGCTGGTGGGTTTGAACTGCTAACCTTGTAGTTCCAAGTTCAATGCTGACAGCACCATACTAGAAGTCCCTGAACATCCATAAAATCCACTAAAGTTCCCAACCCAAACAGTAGAGGGCAGTCCCGTTCCTTCCTTCTCAGTGGAAAAAGGAAAGTAATTGTAAGTGCCTAAAGACTCTGTCCTGGTGTGGCGCTCTGGGTTAATGCGCCAGACTGCAAAGACATTTGAACTGCAAGGTCAACGATTCAAGCTCACTAGTCACTCCTCAGAAACCCTATACAGGGTTGCTATGGGTCAGAACCACACTTAACAACAACAAAGACTCTGTATAGCATAGTGGTTAAGAATCAGGCTGTGAACTGCAAGGTCAGCAGTTCGAAACTACCAGCTGTTCCACGGGAGAAAAATGAGGCATTCTGCTCCTGTAAAGATTTACAGCCTAGGAAACCCTCTGGTAGCATAGTGGTTACGAATTGGGCTGCGAACCGCAAGGTCTGCAGTTCAAAACTACCATCTGCTCCGTGGGAGAAAGATGAGGCTTTCTGCTCCTGTAAAGATTTACAGCCTTGGAAACCCTATGCAGGGTCGCTATGAGTCAGAACCGACTCCACGGCACATAATAACACCACCAAGTTGGTAAAACTAGATGAAGCAAAATACAAGGGGAATGCAAAAACCTTATTCATGGAAAAGTTCCATTATCTTGTTAATTCCATTTTCTACCAAGTTTTAGAAGCCCCTCATATATAGTTAACCTACATTTGTCTAACGTAGTAAAATATTAACTACAACTAGCTTTGCCTACATAACGCACACATGTCAATTTATTTAACTTACGTGCTTACAAAATTAAAAAATTATGAGACTAACAAGGGCTATGTGGCAAAGTAGTTAAAGCGCTCAGTTGTCAACCAAAGGTTGATGGGCTGAACCCACCCCACCAGTGGAGACTAATTCAGTCTTGGAAAGCCTGCGGGGCAGAGCCTGTAGGGCAGACTCGACTCCCCAGCACCGAGTTTAGACCTGAGACAAACAGCAAAACTGACCTTGGCTCAATAGTGAGAAAGCTTAGTCTTTACATCAGGGACTGAGTATTCCCTGTGGCTGCCACTTAAAAGCTCAGTAAAAATGGACAAAATGAACATATTTAAATGCTATACTGGGCACAATTTTTTAAATAAGATGCTCTCTGAAGCCTTATTTCCACCTTCCACGTGATGGATAATGTATTTTCTATTTCTCTATATAGTTGCAACTTGTCTAAGATATTCCCAGAAGCCCTCTCTCAGGCGTTAGTGAATACTGCTAACTGAGCTCAGAAACAACCATGTAAGCTTTATTTAGGAGGTAAAGGAACATTCTGAGTAGAAGTGACACTCAGAGAAGTCCAAGTTTGCACAAACCTTTACAATTGTCAGCCAAGGCTGTAAATGTGGGACTCGTCACTTCATGTTAGCTTTGCTGGGTGTTCATTTAACTAAGATTCAGTAACCCTTGTGGGGAGAGCCAACACCAATGGCTGTTAAGATGGCTGTGAAAATGAATATCTACATTTAAGGAATCCTGGTAATTTGGTCTCCAAATTAGTTAGATGCAAATGGTGATTTTGGTCTAATCTAATTCTATTTCCCTAGAATCTAGGGCAATTCAACCGAGGACTTGTCAAAGTGACTGCTTCAGTCTGATTTACTGATATTGTTGTGTGCCGTCAAGTTGGTTCTGGCTCACAGTGACCCTGTATAGGGTTTCCGAGGAATGGCTGGTAAGCTTGAACCACCGACCTGGTGGTTCAAATCGACCTTGCAATCCAGCACATTAACCCACAGCAGAATGTGGACGCTCTAAAACCATTCTAGACACTTCAGTCAAGAGGCCTAGAGGCCATCCACACTTCTAGATATACCCATCCAGAGTCTCACCTAAGACTGACATGCCTTTTACTACCCTTATGGTTCTGTGCAATTAACCACAAGGTTGATCTTGAGAAACCCATACTAGGTTGCTCTGAGTCAGAACTAACTGACAGCACTTAACACCACAAAACTGGAAGTAAGCAGTATTTATTGCTGAATTGTGCCACATAAATAACTGAAAAGCAGTCACCTTTTTGTCGACTTCACTATCAGAATCACTGCCAGATGAGCTTGAAGAAACAAGTTCCTTTGATTTAGGCATTCTGAAAGAAAAACACATTATGCAAGTAATTTATAAGCTGTTTGGTCCCCTTCACCTTGCTCTTCCCCCAAACTGAAACACAAGAACATGGTTCATTCTACCACGTTGTGGCAATGGAGCTATTACCCCTGGCTACAAATGCTAATGATTTTCATTTAGGATCTTCTACATTGAAAGCATCACAAGTAAAATGTTCCAACCCCACCAAAAGAAAGAACCGTCATACACATCTCACATACCTTCACTTCTGTTTTGCAAAGCCACAGGGTCTCTTTATGCTTCATTTTAGGAAGATTTGGTAGATTTCTATAGCTTATATGTAATTTACAATAATTCACTACATTTTACACTGGCTTTCTACTCTGAAACGTTATTAAAATTTGAGGAATCTGTTTATGGGAAGGTCAAAACCTTTCATCAAATTCCTACCATGCTCCTTGCTCCCCACAGAGGAACATAGTTCAGTACCTTGCTTTCAAGTGCTTAATGTCTGCGCATAAAATATAAGTGAGTGCCTTGTGCTACCATGGTTTCAGAGGAAACCATCAGTAAGCCTCAACTCCATAGCTAGGAATTTCAAAGCAAGCAGTATACCTCTTTTCCAAGGCCATTGTAACACAAATGGGTAAAGCACTAATTATCAAAGCATGCTTTACCCTCCCCATCTCCCAAAAGACAGCCTAATTCATTTTCATACACCCTAACAGGACTAGAAGGAGCTCTGGTAGCGTAGTGGTTATGAATCCGGCTGTGAACCACAAAGCCAGCAGTTCAAAACTATCAGCTGTTCCGCAGGAGAAAAATGAGGCGTTCTGCTCCCGTAAAGATTTACAACCTCGAAAACGCTGTACAGGGTCGCTATGAGTCAGAATCGACTCCACAGCACACAGCCAAGGGGGCTATACACACAATACACACTCTATAAATGTTTGGTGACTAAAGCAGAAAGGATTTCTATTTCATCCATGATCTAGCTCTCTAGACCAAACTTGCTTTAGCAGTAGCAATGAGCAAGTTCCACAATGGATGGTGTGACTGGGTGTCACCAAGTAGGTTCGAACCCATAGCAACCCTATACAGGGCTTCCGAAGCTATAAATCTTTATGGGTGCAGAAAACCTTATCGGTCTCCCTCTGAGGGGCTGGTAGACTCAAACTACTATCTTTCAGTTAGCAGCCCAGTTCATAATCTACTACACTACCTGGGCTCTTCCACAGGTCAGGAAAAATAAATAGGTCATCCCCAAATTGGCAAATAAATTCCCAAAGCTTAAACCAGATCCAGCCTCACCATGGTGACTTTAAGCGACAATTTCTTGAAAATAAGAGAATTCAGAGGAGAGCAACACCAACCACGCAGTCGCATTTTTATACATTGCTCCTGTGTTGGCTTCATTTTACATAAAATCGCCAAAAACCAGTTCCACCCCTCTAACTCTTATAAAAGAAAAGAAATGTTTTAAGGTCATTAAGTTGAATGTAACCTATTTTTCACTTTGAAATGATCAAGCGGAACTATACCTTATGTTATTAAAAGCTGCCTGGGGCCCTAAGAAAACATTTCAAAGAACCAACTCCTCTTTAACCCAAATATGAAGTCTATTCAAAAAGGAAATACGATAATGATATCTAAGGCTGGACACTGTGAACTGCAGACAAAACATTATTTCTACTTTTATTATTGAGTCTTTACTGAATCAACAAAAGACACCAATTAATTTCGGCAAACGATACTAAAGGTATTATGAAACATACACAAAACGCAACTTAAAAAAATTTTTTTAAAGACTGATTTTCGGTGTTTGATGCTGGGGGGTGGGGGGAGGGAGGACTGAAAAACCAGGTGAAAACGAGGTGGGACGGTGGGCACACACAGACACCGCACCACACCGGGGAGGCCAGCACCAGGCAGCGGGAAGGGTGGCCCCGGCGCAGAACGTAGCCAGAAGCCCCGGGCTGGTAACGGTTTGGGCCAGGAGACCCAGGTTGGTCGGAGGGGGCGTGGGAGGCGGCAAAAAAGCCGAGGAGACGATGTGGGAAGAGGAGGGACATGCTCCCAGCGCCATTTTCTTCTCTCGACGCGTCCCCTCCCCCTCCAGAGCCCGCCGCCTCTCCGGACCCGGGTCCTCACTCCCCTCTCACAGGACGCCCTCCACCCCGGGGGTGGGGAAGGCCCGGGAGAGGGCCCGAACCAGGCCACGAGGAATGGGCCCCGCACGCGCCCCAGCCGCATTGTCCCGGGCCCCCGCCCCGCGGCTCCGCGCCCCCAGCTAACGGCCCCCCGCCGCCCCCAGCCGCCGCGCCCGCGGACTCTGGCTCTTTCCCCGGGGCTGGCGTGGGCCACCCAGGATCCCGCAGCGGTTCAGGCGCGGGGTCGGCGGTAGAGGGGTCGGTGAAGCCGAGGCGGGGAAAGGGAGGTCAGGCAGAGCCGCCATTTCCCCATTGGCCGGCGAGGGAAGAGGGTCGCGGGCGGCTCTCGGTGGGGTAGGGGGCTCGAGGGGTGGGGACTGGGAGTACCGAGCACTCACGTTCAGCTCCTGCAACAGAACAGCCTCCTGCTCGCTCGCCCACGACTGACAGAGAAACGGAAATGACGACAACCTAGAAACGCAGGTCCCGCCCCACTGGGACCGCGGACACGTGACGGGGCGTAACTTCCCCTTAGAAACTGATAACGAGACCCCTTCCAGAACCTTAAAGGGACCGCCGGTAATTCGAGACTTGTTTGTTGTTACGTTCCATTGAGTCAGTTGCGACTCATAGCGACCCTGTATAGGGATTCTGAGGAGCGATTGGTGAGTTTGAACCGCCGACCTTGCAATTCAAACCCACCTTGCTGTCCAGTACTTATTCTACAGCGCCACACGTGGACTCCTAGACAGATCCCACGAAAGTGAACTGTCACAAAGTTTCAGTCTGATCTTTGAGTAAATGAGGAAGTTGTTGTTGTAGAGCTAGTAAAGCATAAATGATAAACATTGAGCCCTGCGTTTATTCGATACAGGTTTATTACATTGACTGGAATGACCAGACTGACCCTTATGACCCATTTTCCACGAAATGATTCCCCAGAGTCCATGACTCTGGCTGGTAAAATCCAAAAGAAGGAAGTCAGTCACTGAGTTTAATTTTGGAAAGTCCAAGAAATGTTTGCAGAAATCCTTGGTCATAAACACCCTTTTCTCCAGGCTGAGGTAGAGCATAGAAGGCAAGAGAAATGCATGCTACAAGCTGTAATATATATAACTGATTGCAGTCTCACCGAGGGTTGGTGTTACCAAACCGCCTCCCTCCACCATGGATCGCCTCTCATACCAAACCATATAGAATCCTTAGTAATATTTATTATCAATTTTAATGATAAAATAATATGTAATAAATACAGTTGTATATACTTTAATGTATTACTTCTAATTTAGTACGGTTGTACTTCCTCCAATACAGATTTGCCTGTTCTTCTGGCAGTCCATGGTATTTTTAATATTCTTCTCCAACACCATAACTCAAATGCATCAGTTCTTCTACAGTCTTCCTTAGTTATTTACTGTCCAACTTTCACATGTATATAAGGTACATGTGAAAATACCATGGCATGGGTCAGGCGCACCTTAGTCCTTTAAACTGACATCTTTGCTCTTCAACATTTTAAAGAGGACTTGTGCAGCAGATTTGTCCAATGCAATATGTCGTTTGATTTCTTGACTGCTGCTTCCATAAATGTTAATGGTGGATCCTAGCAAAATGAAGTCTTGGAGAACTCCAATCTTTTTTCCATTTATCCTGATGTTATTTATTGTTCCAGTAGTTAGCAGTCCAAAGGAGCTCTGGTAGTGTGGTGGTTTCAAATCGGGCTGCGAACCTCAAGGTCAGCAGTTCTAAACTACCAGCTGTCCCGTGGGAAAAGATGAGGCTTTCTGCTCCCATAAAGATTTACAGCCTCGGACACCCAGTACAAGGTCACTATGAGTCAGAACCGACTCCACAGCACATAACAACAACAGCAACAGTTAGCAGTCCAGTGCTTATCCTACAGTACCACACCAGGACTCCTTAGTCACGGAGCCAACAATAAATGAGTTAGGAACTAAATGAAAACTATTGTCTTCAAGTTGATTCTCACTCATGTTGATCCCCATTTGTGTCAGAGTAGAACTATGCGCCGTAGGGTTTCCAAGGGTTAATTTTCAGAAGTACATCACCAGGTCTTTCTTCTGAGGCACTTCAGAGTGGACTAGGACCTCTAACCTTTGGATTAGCAGTCGAACACGTAACCATTTTCACCACCCAGGGTCTTTCTCCAATAGGAAAAAGAGGAAGCTTTCTGCTCCCACAAGTTAACAGCCTCAGAAGCCCTATACAGGGTCATGACAAGTCAGAATCAACTCAATGGCAGTGGTTGGCTAGATGGACTCCAAAGAATTAAAGGGAAACAGTAATTTCAGATGGGGGTGGTTATGTACCCTGGAGTCAGTTCCAACTCAAAGCAGCCTTTTATAGGGTTCCCAAAGGCTGTCAATCTTTGTAGGAGCAGAAAGCCTCATCTGCTCCCTGGTACTTATGAATTACTGACCTTAAGATTAGCAGCCCGATTCATAACCACTAGGCTACGGTGGTGG